CTAATGGCCTATCATGGTGGAGTGCGGAGGGCTCCCTACCCCCGCCAAGTGCCTTTACTACAGACCTGGGTCAATGGGTGGGCGGCAGCGGCAGCGTGGATGTCCGCCAGCAGCATTTCAGCTGCTTCTCAGGCCTCCATAGCTTCCACGGTTTCCGCCAGTGCTGGCGCCTCTCTCACCAGCGCCGTCTCCAACAACAGCATCTGAGTCGCTCCCGCTTTTCCACCCCCGCCCCAGCAACAACAGGGGAAAAAAACATTTTGAGGTACCTTGGAGCGCCACACGCTGCGTTTTTGTTTAATCCCGAGCAGCTGGGTGGGCATGAGAAGAGCCGAGCAAGCGTCTCTGCCGCTGCTACTCTTGGTGCTCCAGCCCTGGGCTCTGCAAGTTTCCAAAAGTCCCAGTGCACAGCCCGTTCCTGCATTCCAAGTGCGCCCAGGCTGAGTGGCAGCTGTCCCTCTCTCGCCAGCGCCGTCTCCAACAGCAGCGGCAGCGCCTGGAACCGTGGAGGCGTTTTAGCCACTTCTCGGGCAGCAGAGCTGCCTCCATAACTTCCACGGTTCCCTCCGCTGCTGCCACTGTTGTTGGAGACATCTCTGGTGAGAGAGGGACAGCTGCAGCTTGGCCTGGGTGTGCTTGGAATGCAGGAAAGGGCTGCGCACCGGGACTTTTGGAAATTTGCAGAGCCCGAGGCTGGAGCACCAAGGGTAGCTGCGGCAGAGACGCTCGCTCTGCTCTTCTCATGTCCACAGAGCCACTCGGGATTAAACGAAAACACAGCGTGCGGCACTCCAAGGTACCTCAAAATGTTTTTTTTCCTCTGTTGTTGCGGGGATGGGGATGGGGGATGGAAAAGCGGGAGCGACTCAGATGCTCGCGCCACCGCCGGCAGGAACCGTGGAAGCTACAGAGGCCTGAGAGGTGACTGAAACGCTGCTGGCGGACAACCACGCTGCTGCCTACCCGCTGACCCGGCCTGCAACCAGCACCATACCTGGGTCTGCAGCAAAGGTACTTGGCGGGGGTAGGGATCCCTCAGCCATTTTCGGCCATTAGGAGCAGCTGGTGGTGAGGCATGGCTGCCTGTGGGGCGCTCATAACGGCAAGTTCCCCCCCCACCTCCCCAATTTTGCTTGTTTTAAAATAGGCCTAAAATTTGGGGGGGGGGGCTTAATTTTATTTTATGCGTAGAAAACATGCTGGGTTTTCCTATTGGGGGGGGAGCTTATTGTTGGAGAAACACGGTATCATCAAATTATAGATCACAATCCCCTGTACGAAATCAGCCATGACAGCAGACATGCAAAAACTGATGCACAGATCCTTATCGTTCCATATGGAATTAAAGTCACATTACAAATGGCAGCTGTCCTCCCAGAATGAGTCATAACACATTTATAATACTTTGAGGCCTCACTGTGGTGCAAACCATGCAACTCAAGCACTGATGGCGTATTTTTGCACATTTAATTTTATGACACATGTACCCGTGTTTTTTTTTTTTTCCAAATACCTGCTATCGCAAAACTTATAGGGTTAGGTGCTTACAAAAAGAAAAAAGAAATACGACATTTGCAAAAGCATGTTCATATTGAAACGGGGAAGGGGAAGGAGGAGAGAAGACGAAGACCAGAAAGCTGGCTACGGCTATACCTTCACTGCCTGACTTGGCTTTTTCTCTCTGCGTGACCGCAGTCTCCCACGGGACGCTCGCCGCGTGGGTTGGGTCCAAGGCAGGAGCTTTCAGCATTTGGCCTGACGCCCGGCCTCCTCACCTTGAGTACCACGCTGAGGTCTTTCAAGGGGTGTTTGTTGAGAAGCAGGCGTCCGGCTTTGGCTGCGGCCAGGTAGTACTCGATGGGCCGACCGCGGAACTCCGAGTGGAAGACGTCCACGAGCTTCTTTCCCACCCAGCGCCCCTTGCAGTAGGTACTATAGTCGTAGTAGTACGGGCGCACCTTGCGAAGTCCGCCCTCGAAGTAGTAGCTAGTTTCGGCGAAATGGGCCTCTCCGAAGCTGACGCCCGTATTCCGCTTCTTTGGCGGTGGCACGTAGCGCTTCTCTCCCTCTTCGAGCGGCCCTGGCCGCTTCTTCTGCCCCTTAGACAGCCGCCTCTTTTTCGCCACCTGCTCTTTAGGCTCCGGGATCGGCTTCCCTTCCATGCTCCTCCCGGGCACAAGGCCGGCGAGAGTACCCAAGAAAGCGCGCTCTGCGATCAGCCGGACTAAGCAAAAGCGGAGCAACGTTCTCCAAAACGACCCGGGTCGCATGCTGAGGGGTATAGGCGGAGAAGCCGACCACGTGGCGTTGTGGAGCCCCACCCCCCCACGCGACCCCACTCATCTTTACCCAATCAGATTGTTCTATGCCTCTTGACGGATAAAGCAAGCGACGGAACGAACGTGCGGTCCTCTAGAAATGTGGTGGTGATTATGGAGGGCTCCGCGTTTTGTTTTGCTGGACCCTCGAGGAACGCTCAGATCCAAAATTTAAGCATTTTATTAGGTTATAAGATACAATATACAAAAATAAATAGGAAAGTGAGGGAGGAGGGAAGTGAGGAAAGGTTGGGAAAAAGGGGGAAAAAAAACGTTGACTGCCGACTTCCTCTGTTGCAGTAAAATAAGGCATCAACATCAAACACAACTTTTTGCTTTTTCATAATAATATATATATAAACTAGCCATTTCTATAAACTCAGATCATGTTTCCGTTTACTGAATTGAAGAGATCACCCGGTCTGTTAAGTAGTACACTCCAGGCATCCTAATTTGAATAGGTTAATTTGAATTAAAACTCGGCTTTATTTGCACTTCCAGCACAGTTGTCCAAATGCACCAAAGCTGACTTCCTGCCTTTACTATTGCATAAGCAAGAAATACTGTATGTTGCAGAGATACGATTAAAGCTAGTAATCTAGTATAAGGTTTAATTTATTAAAAGTGTCATGAGTCTCACATCTGGAGCTATAAGGGGAGGCAGAGATCAAAATCTATCTACCCAGCTGTTCATGACTGACATACGGTCCCAGCTTTTTTTGTGTTTTCTTTTGAATATAATTTTTATTGACAACAATAATAGTACCTAATACAAACCAAAGGAAAGAAGAAAATGACACTAAAAGGTAGAACGTGCATAAAGGAAAAAAAACAAGAGGAAGGTAAAAAAGAAAAGAAAAAATACAAAAAAATTAAAACAGGCTTCCAATCTTCACAGCATTATATTTTAAGCTCTCTAAGGTTACATCATGACTATATTCTGTCTACCAGAATAAATCACATGTTCATGTTTTGTGTGCAAAAACACTAAGGTTTTGAATCTTTAATAAATATAAACCTAGTCTTTTTGCTAATCAAATAATTTAGCTACCATATTTCAGCAAATTCTATCATCTTCACCAAGCATTCCTCCATTGTATTGCCAATTTTTTCCAGCTTTTTTTTTACAAGTTCACCAAACATGATGAAATGACAATTTCATTGCAAGACCTAGGGAAGATGGTCCTACATGGCCAGCAGCCTCCTTGTGAACATGAAATGCTGTCATTTTATGCATCAGAACCCAAAATTTATCAGATGATGGCTTCTGGTTGGTGCTTCAGACTCTTATCATAAATTACTAGACTCATTGTGCATCTAGTTTCCTTTATTAGTATGCAGTTTCTCACTTGATACATAGATGTTCTACTTCTACCATTTCCATTCCTTTTTATCTTTTATAACCTTTTATGTCTCATACATTAACTTGTTTTATATAGCTCTCATATGAGTGTTAATACTTTGTATTGATTATAATTATATTTTATGTTTCTTTTAATGACTATATATCTCTATATGTTGGACTATAACAATAATAAAAGCTTTATAATTTGCTATATGGGAAATTTTAATGAAAAGGGAGTAAGTGGTAAATAGAATGAATCAATGAAATGAATAAGGAATCACTTTACATAATATTTACAAAAGTAATAAATGAAATGTTCTGGCCAATGTTACACACACACAAACAGCAAGTATTAGGATAATTAAGGTGCTGGACTAAGCACAGGGAGACCCAGGTTCTAGTCTTCCCCACGAAAAATGGCAACACTATGATTTGTCTGAAAAAATGAATGTTTATTGAAATAAAATAGCTGTGCATTGGAACATACATCTGCACACTTTGTTATACAGAAATGAAAGTTGGGTATGTTTTAACAGTAAATTGAATGAACTGAATAGGAAACAAGGAGGGATGCAGGTTAAGAATGAATAAATGAATTAATGTGGATTGAATACAAAAATGAGTAACCAATATAAAAGAAGTTTGTTGAGGTGATTGGCCTTGTACAGAAAATGAATGAGGATTCTGTTGGAAAGCAATATAAATGAATGAAAAATGACGGTTGAGAGGAAGATGAAGTGCAAGAGGTAAGAATTGTGAACAATAAAAGGCAAAGTGTATAGTGTTGTATGGGCATACCGTGTTTCTCATATAATAAGGCTGGGTCTTACTTTTTTTTGAGCCCCGAAAAAACGGCTAGGCCATCTTTTTGGGGTGACTTAATTCCCCCCCGCTTGCATCTTCGGGCGGGCGACGACGGCTTGGATGTTGACCTCGGCGTTGGTGGGGCACTTCGTATCGGGGTCAACGCAGGCAGCACCATATCCGGGTGTGCAACAAAAGTACTTCCTAATGGCAAGCCCCCCCACCATTCCGCATGTTTCAATATAGGCCTTAATTTGGGGGGAGGGGCTTAATTTCATTTCATGCCTATAAAACATGCTGGGACTTCCTATTGGGGGAGGCCGTATTGTTGGAGAAACAGGGTAGTAAAACCAAGAATAGATTGTAAGGAAAGAAAAAATTTAGACTCCATAGGATGAAATAGGTGTAAAACAAATTCAGTCATATTTCTTTTTCCAATATTTCTTACTTCTTTTCTGTTTTTTACAGTATTGTTGCTTATCCTGAAAGGGTGTAACATGACAAATATGTATGTCTGTAAAATTAAGGTTATCTCTGGACAGATTGTGAACAGAATTTATTGTCAATATCACAACTGAGACTGCAGTCACACTATATAAAAATCTGCTTCATTCCCTACTCCCATTTTTCCTTTCAGCAGTCTAGTTTATGGGTAAATAGATTACCTAATTCTTTGTTGTCAAAAGAATTGGGAATACAGAAATACTAGATTTTACTTAAATCTACATAGAATCATAGAAGGAGCCATTTAGGTCAACAAGTTCAATCCTTTGTTTCTATTGGTCTACCCCCAAATATATTAATTATAGGCATCGATTATTGATCTTTAAGCCTCAAGGAAATATTTGTCTACAGAGCTTTTACTCATTCTAATTTATATTTTTGCTTTGGGGCACAAAGTGCCTTCAGGTGTTCAGTATAACTTCAGCTAAAATATGGATAGACCACAGAAAAGTAGGCTGTTAAGTACAATTATTCACTTTTTGATCAGAAAAACAGATCCCATATTATCAGACTGTTGATAATTAGATAAGATTGTTACTGTTTTATGCGATAACAGGATACTTTCCAAATATTAAATCACAAATAAACCATTTCTTAACACACTTATAAAAGCCACAGAAAGTACAGATTTCTATCTCCATTGTTTATTCTACATTGATACACACAAGAATTATTGACAATTGTGAGATGTGTTATCCCTGAATCAACCAATTTGTATTGCTTTGTTTCCAAATTCCACCCAAGTTTTACAGGTCAAATGTTATTTTCAAAGAGGAGAAATGAGCATTCATATATAAAGTACTGCAAACATCAATGGTTCCAAACATAGTTCATAGATTTTCAAAAGGTCCTTTATAAGCTATTTAAATCTTTTAAAGTTCACCCCTAGAGAAAAAGATATAATTGTCTTTTATTATATCACACAATAATTCTTTCTTCCTAAAACTTAATGCTAATATTTGGTTGTGAGTGGAAAAAATAATACCAAAGGTGGCTGTTTAGTGTTATATAAACACTGAAGATTCAGAGTAGTAAATTAATACTAAATCATGCTTTCCCATTTTGGATTGAACAAATAGTTGTGATTAAAGTAGAGTACAAATATGGAAGAATGGAGGGAGGGACAAAGCAAGGAACTCTCAGTCTTTTAGTTTTTTTTCCAACTACTAAACTGATTTTACCATTGTTAATTTTAATTCAAAGAAGTGTACAGGAATAACTCTTAAATCTTGGGAGTTACAATATTCATAATAAAACTCTTTAGAACATCAATATTAAACTGAAATATATGTAAATTCACACTTATAAACACAGCTGCCATCCAGTCACATGCATGTTTTTGGGAAAGCAAGTTCCATGAAGCTTAATACGGTAGAACTTAGCTTGCAGTTTGCATGTATTCATAGCATTAAATGTTGGCAAATTAAAACTGTAACATATCAGAAAGATACAAAGAGATTCTGAAATCATTACCTTTTGGAGTAAAATTTTTGAAAAGTGGTTTTGGCAAAATTATAATGAGCTCAAACTCTATTTGAGATTTTGTTTTCACTGCTTGTCTGCTTAAGGGAAGATAATTCTAATTTCTATAAGTGTATGTTTTAATGTATTAAAATGTTTTAATACTTTACCGAGGCCACTGTTTTTCTTTGTCTGTCAGAGGAACATATATCACACCCATCAGATGCTTTTCCACAATCTGGCCATCCATCGTTTTGTCAAACTGCATCATAACCTGGTTTCCATTTTCTGGCCCTACTGGCAAAATCAGTCGTCCTCCAGGTTTCAGTTCATTAAGCAACTGGTAATACAGAAAAAATATCAGTAAACATGGTAAGGCAAATTAAAGACAAAAAAAATCAAGCTAAACACTGAGCATCCTAGGAAGTATAGTGAACATAAAGTATTTCTTGAGAATCTGGAACCTTGCTGTTTATTTTTAATTCAACTTGGTCTATGTATTTAGCTCCTGAAAGGTTCTATGGCAGAAGTCTAGCAAAATAGTGTTTGTTTTGGTAAAACATGAAAGCTTACATCTTATAATGTAAAGAAAGAAATTATCAAAAGCCTCTATATTTGAAGTATTCTTCCGAGTTTATATTATTCGGGGCTAAACTTCCAATATGGGTCACAGTTCCGTAGCATTCTTGGGAACTTGGAAAACAAAAGACTGTAGAGTTGTAACTGCAGGAATGTTCCAATCTCGGATGGCAAACCTCAGATAAAGAATGTTTCCAAGCAAATACAACTCAGGCAAACAAAGTCGCTAATCAAAAGGAGGATTAGAGAGAGGAAGTAAGCATATGTTAGACTTTAACTAGAGATAATTAATTGTATTAATTACTGTGCTAAACAGTAACGAAAGTTAAGCAGTAACCAAAGTTAACCAATGATGGAGGATAACTAAAAATGTGTATAAATGCAAGACTAAGACTCCAATAAAGATCATCATGATTCAGTTGTTCATGATCAAACAACTCGACTGCCTCATCATTACAACAAGACAAGATTATTGTTTACTGAACGGAGTGGAGAGGGTTCCTTCTGTATCCTACCTCCATTGGCACAGTGGGTGCAGCTGCTCCAACATGGATGGCATCATATGGGGCTTCTTCAGGATATCCCGTCCTACCATCCCCAACTGTGGAGAGGGAATGTAGACAGTTAAGGTTTTATAAGTGGAAGAAAATGATTTTTCTCATTCACGATCGATTTGCTATTAAACTCACAGGGGACTGAAAATAGTGTCTAATTTAAATTACAGAAACTTTGTACATAACACAAAAACAACAGATCAAAATGACAGTTAAAGAACAAGACATATGCAACCTAATTAATCATCAGGGTCAAGCCTCATAAACACAAAGATTTCCTGAAAAAAGGGGGATCTATTTTGAAACTGAAGCATCACACTATGGATATTACTAGAGAAAAGATTTCATTCAGTATTATTCCATTCAGTATTTCAGTATTATAATTTAGTCTCTTATTTTCCAGTTAGAAGGAGCTTTAAGAAAGACCCAATAAAGAACTTCTGGGTAAAATGAAAGTGAAATAATATGGGAAGTAATATGTGAGTATCAAAACATCCAGATTGTCCAATTTACCATAAAAAGAATTATTATATAGAGATAATTATTTAAAGACAACTCACCCCTGTAGCTTTGAAAAATATATTTTAAGAATTATCTTTCTAGAATGCTTTCTCTACTGCAAGCACAGCAAGCACCTATCAAATCAGAATTGGTACGACAGCTACAAAACAGATAACTTACCTAAAAGTTTCACTCGTCCAGAACTAAGTAAGTTTGGGTCATCTTTTCTGACGTTCCTAAAGGATTCATGGACCAATTCTTCTATGTGCTCAATACCTATTGCCTTGCCTGTGGGGCCCACCTATAAAAGGAGTCATGTATACTTCAAACTCTATTGCTACTTCAAATTCATTATTATAGAGGAAATAGAATTCATTAAATTAAAATTCATTATGAGTTTATGAATTATGAGCCGGATAGTAGTAGTCTCATTAAAGTATGTTGCGTAGGGGGTTTTGTGCAACTGAGATGCAATTGAAATTTGTGCTTTCCCTTTCATTTTTCAAAGTTTAAGTCTTGTAATAGTCAGACAGCAATTGCACCAGATACATCAAGTTGACAGAATAGTAACTGTAAAAAAAAAACAATTCACAGGTGTGCCTTCTCACCTGTAGCAAGAAGAGAAAAAAGTGCTGTATTTTGCTTACCATCCTAGCAAAACAAGCAGTGAGGTAGCCACTTCCTGATCCTACATCTAATGCCTTCGCTCCTTCCACTAGCTGGTCCTTCAGTAACTCAAGAGCATGAGCATGCTGTAAAACAATCATTATACATAACATTACACATTTTTCACATAACTTATTTTCATAGTTTTTAGCTCAGTCTTTCCCTAGCTGGTATCTTCAAATGTGTTGAGTGACAATTTCCATTACATCAAACCACCAACTATGCTGGGCAGAGAAAGGAAAAGGTTACAGTCTAATACATTTGGATGGAATCAAGGTGGAAATAATTCTTTTTACTATATTCTAGTACCATTTTTCTTTCATAAGAAGAAACAAGTTAATTCTTACCATCTTGGCCCTGGCAGACAGATTCTTATAGTATAGATGTAGTTTTATGAATGATCAAAGTAGAGATTTATATTGATTTGTGTCATATACCTCAATGAGAGATGTACCAATGTGGAACACAAAATTGTCCAGAAGATGCAGATTAATGATGTATGTAAGATATAAAAAGGGTCTCATAATTCTGTGGTAGTGTATATGGATACTGCCTTAGGTCAAATCATCTGGCACTTTCTCTAGTTATAAGTCACAGATAAATAAAATTCCCTGTTCTACTACAAAGAATCGCATATAGCAATGCCATAGTAAGCTGCTTGGAAATAAACTGATAATTCAACGCTATAAAGCCTTACATTGGTGGTCTCTCTGCTTTACTGGATAAATATTTTTCAATGCAAGAATGTCTTTATATAATATTTAATATAAAAAATGTGACTTACCATGTGAGGTGCGCTGATAGTAGCCTTGAATCCTGAAATAAAATCATCAACAAGGTGCTAAGAACCATCATTCAAGCAGCATTACAAACCCTTCATTTTCTCAATCCTTCCAGGCAATTAAAAGTGTAAGATGGTGGGCGATCTTTTAGTGCAGGTATAATAGTTTTTAAGAAGGTAAAGCTGCAAAGGGCAGGCTTTTTGTTTTTGTTTTCTCGGGTTTTTCACTGAATCATATGTAAGGGACTTTTAAAAAACTCTTTGCAGCCTAGTCTAGGGTACCCAACACCATTATATGATTTTTACTTCAAGTTGGTAGAAAATCATACCACTGATCTTTAGATCTTTCAGAAACAACTCTGGAGCTGCCCAAAGTAGATTTGGGAACTTAATTCATTCCTGAATTAGGATTCTTATTTGAAGTCTTCATATTAACTTATGTTCCGGAGATGACCACTTGATTGCTAAAATATATAAAAAGTTACTGAAGATGAATCTGGAAGATGAATACATTGAAGATTGTATGGTAAAATGGGCAAATATTTTTGGATATAACATAACACTAATAAATGGGAGAATGTATGGACTAATGGACTAAAATTTACATTAGATTATAATTGAAAGACAATGTTTATAAAATGATGTATCATTGGTATTTGATCCCAGATAGACTAGCAAAAATGTATAAAGGGACTTCTAATAAGTGCTGGAAATGTAGTCAAAATCCAGGCTCATTTTATCATATGTGGTGGTCTTGCAAATATGTGAAAACATACTGGACAAGCATAACAATGACAAAATATTCAAGATACAAATATTAATGAAACCTGAAGCTTTTCTTTTAGGTATTATGGACAAGCCAACTGAAAAACAATTTGGGGTGCTATTCCTTCACATGGTGACAGCTACGAGGATTGCACTTGCCAAGCACTGGAAAGAAACAGGGATGCTGACTATTGAAAACAAGGATGCCGACTATTAAAATTGACTGAATTAGCAGAGATGGTGAAATTAACTGCTTTGATCAGAGATAAAAAAAACCAGACAGCTTTATAAGCGACTGGAAACTGTTTGTGAACTTTCTGCACACTCAATACAATAACAGATAGTTAACAGAATGATTTGAAGATTAGTATAATGTGGACTGCTTTTCCTTTTTCTTCTATATACATATATTGTAAAAAGGGAGAAGAGAATTTACTGTTTTTTCTTTTTTTTTTCAATGTCCAACCAGGGTGGATTCTATATGTTAAATATTAAATTTATTTGGTATTTGTCTTTTTTTGTACACCATTTTTAATTCTGTTGCTGTTAGTGCTGGACATATGTTTTTGTTTTGTTTTTCTGTTTTGTATTTTATCTTTTATGATAAAACAAAATAAATATACTTAATAAAAAGTTTTCATATTATCTTTATTACCTGTAGAATAGCTTGGATGAAACCATGCTTTTTAGTGGCCTGAGACAGACATGAGGTTCCAAGCATGAAAACAACATATGTGGTCTCTAATATATGCAATATTTATTTATTAACTGACAGTAGTCTGCAATCTTACCAATTGACTGAGGAGAATCCATATACGGAAAATAACTGGCATAGTGGGCTCTATCGGTAGCCAGCATCACAGCATGAACACGTTGGGATTTAATCACACCATTTTCTACAGGAACAGAGAAATGAATACACATTATTATACAGTATAAAACTCATGTTTGTCACAAAATGGAGACCAACTTAGGGTAATACAGGTCAGATGTAGATCATATTCCTTGCTATATACTGTATCTTATGTTAGTTTCGACA